CCCTTCGCATAGTCATTTCAGATGTCTTCATAACTCATTATTCATTAAGAGATCAGTCAAACCAGCTCTTTTGTGTATCTCAGACCTGCTGTTAAATACTTTATAATTTTCTCTGTATCATACAATAAATGTATCATCTGGTGAAGTTTGTAATGCAACATGTCTAAATCTAAACAAGAAAACCCAAATGAAACATTACTCTAGTTTCAGGTACAGTTAAATGTCACTTGGTGCCACTCTGCACTGTAGTCTAATTATCCACAGGCCCCCCTGGTTGTAATCTCCACTAGGGCAGAGCCCACACCTGTTCTGCTTGCAACTATATCCCCAGTGTGCATCATGTACCAGGTACCTAAGAGACCGCTCCTTCTTCATTATTAAAAAGCTCCTATTTTAAAATGTATTCCTTTTTCTCTTTAATACAAGATAGAAAATACCTTTGTAGATTTTCCTACGTATGACTTACATTGTGGCAAAAATATGCCATTACTATACTTTAAACACTTAGTGATGCTCTAAGAAAGAAGATAGAGTTTTAAATATTACTGTAGTTACATGCTAAATTTACTCTCAAGCAATCTTGAAAAACAGAGATTTTATAATATATGCAATTCATTTTCTCTGAGTTATATTTTGTTGGTCTCTGGTTCTAGACCTTCAACATACAATCAGAAACGGGCCTGGACCAACATCTACCTTACAATTTTGAACAGCACACCATCTGACTGAAAATTCCCACTTTATAAGCAGTTATGCTATTCTTTAATAACTGAAGGTTTTCATTTGCTCAAAATGTAGTAAAATATCCTAGACTAAAATGAACATACCTTTACTTCTCAGTTATCTAAAATGACTTATCTTCAATCATTAAGGCAATGAAAATAATTTCCTTAAACTAACAATAAAAAAAATTATAATCAACATATCTTGAGAAACCAGAAGTGTTCAAATAACCATGCCAGGAAAATGCTGATGTTATAGAATTTACTATTCAGACATTTTATCATTATTATCTCACAAATATTTACAAAATCATTAACTATACTACAAATTTTTGTAATTGTCTCTCCTGAGAAGATATAATGTGAATATAATAGTAAATAATTAAATTTTGTTTTAATGGTTAAACTGATACTACTGCTTTCCACTCTCGTCTGTAACCTAGGTATCACTGGTGTTTGTAAATTTCCAACAGGTAGTAATTTGGGGGATTTGGAAATGAGAAATTGGAATTCCCGAAATTATAAATTATTCTGAAAATATTTCAAATGTTCTTCATACTCTTTACTCATTAGTATGGGTGTCTTAAAAACTGTTCAATTAAAGAGATATCAAGTTTAATATATTTACAAACCTGAGCCTACAGAGACTATTAAACACCGGAAAATGCCAGCAAACACTGCCAAGTGCGATTTCCAATAGCCTGACATTTGGCTCTCTTAGCATCTTAGCAGCACTACGCAGCATCGCAAGCTGAAATTACCAATTTATGACCTTATTTTGCTTCAAGGCTTGTTATTCTTGAAACCCCACTCATATATTTTGTACATAAACTGATTAATATTGCATTTACCTTTTTATTTATACTGTTGACAGAACACGACTACAGCTACAGCCAGCAACACTGATCAGATCAAGGCTGCCTTCCTCCACACGCCGCTCCTGCTTCCTACAAATGGCAACCTTCACCTTGTTTTCGGCTATATGTTGGTGGATTTCTTTAAACTGATGACATTTCTGCATTTATTTTTGTGGCAGAATTATCATATTTCCCCCAATTTCCTGATTTATCAACTTCTTTTCCTCTGGATTCATGATTTTAAAAAACATATAAATTTACCCCAAAATGCCAAGAAGAAATTCCTACATGGAAACACTAGCTTTCATGTTAATGTTGCTCTACTAAAAGAAAGATCAGTCTGTTTCTGAGGTGATTTCTAGTAATCAAACCTGCTACTAATACAAGGAAATGAAACAAAGTTACTGGCCCTCCTTTTATCATGGCGCTGTTGCTTTAAGTTTTCTACAGACACAGTGACTTAGGATTTTAAAAACAGCTATGAAATGGCTTTAATCTACCACGACCACAGGGTGTGCTGAATTGGCTCTCTGTCCTTAAGTAAGGGAAATCACAGTCTAAATTTTGGATGCAGCATGTGGAACAGGGACTGAATGAATGACACGGCATCCCACCACCCCAACCAGGCCTCCTCAAATTCAATGGCTCTGTTTGCGGGATGTTTATGCTGGCATAAGAAGTTGCTCTTTTCTGACACAAATGGGCTTGAACTGATTATAATTAGTCAGACTATCCTCAATGATGACATACAACTTGGAGTCCTAGCACAAACATACCAAATTCTCCTCACTTCAGTAGAGCAAAAGAACTATCTTATTCTGCCAACAAACATTTGAGCTCTGAGACCTTTTCTGCCTCAATGGATAAAGCCAAAATCAACAGACACCCTGTGGCACAACACAGGACTTATTACTGAGAGGTTCACCAACCCTAAAAGAGTTCAGTGTCACTTTCCTCCAAGCAAAAGACAAGTGTCCACAATTCTGCAAATTTTCATAAAGGAAGGCAGCATTGGTACACACTCGTATAAGCCTTGAATTAAAGTTAGAAATCTGGCTAACAGCACAAGCAGGCCATGTAGAAGTCTGATGCTATTTATCAGCATATAAATACAGAACCTTAGCAGGTCCCAACAAAAGCACAGGATGATTTAGTGAATGCTACCCAACTAGGCAGACACTCTCCTATTAGTGCAAGTACGCTCCACACTCAAATTGAGATAAAAACACAGTGTAGCTCGTTCTACATCATTCCTATTGTACAGGTGCAAAAACCAAGACCAGCTATATTTGAGCGACCTCTCCAAACTGATAAGACACTCCTGCGTCACCACCTCCCTTTGCTATCACAGTGCTTATCAGTACTCCGTGACATCCATTCACATTCTGTTAGAACTATCTGGGTGTCCTCCTAAGTTGTAACATACTTGTAAAATAGAAGCTGTCCTTTTCACACTCAGTAAATATCTGTTAAACAAATGAATGTGTTTCCTTCTTCCCTATATACTGCTTGAGCCTCAGCAATAATATATAATGAGTATTTACAATAAATAATGAATACTTCTACTCAAGTCAACAAATGTTTATTATGAATTAAGTATCTATTGTGTAGCAGGCACATTGTTAGGTACTTGGCATCCACAAAGAAGATAAACATCATCAGGTTCTCATGAACATATATATACTCAACAGATGGATTTGAGTTTGGGGAAGAAATGTAGAGGTGAGGTGCGTGAGAGGTCAAATCAAGTCTTAGCGTCCAGTATGGATTACTGGAGAAAGTGACTCCTAGGCTGAGAAATGACGGATGAGGAATTTGTAAGTGTGGAGGATGGGCAGAGGGAGGGAGTAAAACAAGAACAGCATGGGTCAAGGCCCTCAGGTGGGAAAACCTAGCTGAAAGATGCTGGTTGTCAGCCTTCTGTGTTTCAGGCCCCAGGAACCAAACTGTAGGTTTGAGCTTCTCCAGTATGAGTAATTCTAAAGTTAATAGACAGGAAACAGAAAAACTTAAAATGAGAAATCATCATCTTTCTGGTTCATCATGAGGCTCTCAGATGTGAGAAATTAATCAGGTGACACTAGAATGGCCACTGAAGATGGGAGTTAAGAGTGAAATTTCTCCAAGTCCCTATGATTGGCCTAAAATATGTGTTTAGAATAGGTCAAGAACAAGTACATGAAAGAAGATTAATGTATTTGAGTGGCAAGAGTTCTGAGTGTCATAATTGTATTACTTGAGTAGAATTTCCTACTTAGAACTAATCTAGCATCAGAAAAATGAACTGGAAGAAGAGAACACTAATAAAAACAGTAGTACCAAGTAAGTCTTTTGGGGAAAACAGAATTATGTTCATGCTTTTCCTTCTGCATAGGATATATGTTTAGACCTATCAAGTAAATTAATAATTTAGGCATAAAGGAAATTTTTGAAGACCAAACTCAGAAGTTATCTACAATGTACACTTAAATATGAGATTAAAAGAGATCTTCTAAGTGCCAGCAGGACACCTCGACCGGACTATCTAGGCTGTCAACAAATCTGAAGAGCAAGATTCATGTTTACATCTTTTTGCAGCTTCACAGCTGATAGCAGTGCTCTGAGTAGAGCAGAAATATCTCATTACAGTTATTACAGGTTGTGGGATATGGGGATTCTGCTCCTCTAACTGTCCATACTTTCCAGAGCTTTTACAGTGGGCTACTAATACTTAGAAAACATCAGAGTTTCATGAAAGACAGTCATAAGAAGTAAGACTTTCTTCTTAGAGAGAAATCCTAATCTTAACTCTCACAATAATACAATAAATTACAAAATAAGAGAAATAGAGGCTGTGGTTCTCACTACAGAAAGCTTCATTTCTGAGGCAGCAAAGAGATTTCTTTAACCCATTCACCTGCCCTTCAAAGCTCCAAATTCTGTGCCCTGAGATAAGAATCATATCAAAGATTAATTTTTCTATAATGAAAAGCTTATAAATATTTGCAACTACTGTATCATTCAAAAACATCTCACTGCTTATATCAAGTTTTTCTGGACAGTGGCTGAGTCCCGAGGGAACAAAGCTAAAACTTAGTGGAGAAAGAAAGAATGGAGGGCAGCAGGAGGATGAGGTACCCCAGAGAGGGCCAGGTTCTTAGTGGGCAGACTGTGCTACCCCAAGCAAGTAGGGTCTTGCTGAATGTTCCAGAATAGCCAAGATTTCTATATATTCTGTTAATTTCCTATTAAACAAATATCAGGCACTGTTCTAGGCCATGAGTAGACTATGTCTATGAAAAGTTTACGACAACATTTAACAATAATTTATGATATACATTAGAAATGTAAAGGCAAGTTCAACTACTATGATGAGAAGCTAGGGAAGCAATTATTTTTGTAACGGATCAACAGCAGATGCATGTGTGAAAATCAACTTTACCTTATATTTCATCTTGGGGCATGAATGAATGTAGAAACCCATATAATAATAGCTGAGTTGAGATGTTTTCTCATGAAGTTGCCTAGTAAAAGCAATTTCTCTGCCGAAAGAAGAAGAAGGTAAAATTAAATATAGTTCCAATATTCAAAGTACTATATAACTGGATAACAAATATTTGACAAATCTGAACATCTGGTATTAAGCTATCTACATGTTGAAAGAAAAATAATTTTTAAAATACTGTAAGATGATTTTCACTAAAGGGATACAAAAAAACCTCAATTATTTTAAGCAAATGCATGAATTAGGATTTTTATGTTATCGGGCATAGTAGTTAAACTAAAATTCAAATAGCTAAAAATAGTAACTAGAAAAAAAATAAATCAAATAGCATAAATAATACTCTATTTAATATGGTTTCTTGTTCTTATTCATTATCCCCTGGAATTCTGAAAGACTGAGTTTATCAAGTTAAAAACAGTATAGCAGATTTTACAAAACTCAAAAGCCAAAAGCCAAATTTCAGGAAGAATAACTATTATTATGACCGCTTTCATGCAAAACACTTTCAACTGTATATGACATATAACTTTTTCTTAAGTCTAGATGCTTCTTCATTATTTATTTTCCCTACAATTAGAGAGGGGAATAAATCATGTTATCTCACCTCATTTCTCTATGCATATGTAGAGGTAAGGACGAACTGAGCAGAGAAGCTGTCAGCAATGCCTGTGCTTGACATGGTCTTAATTTTATCTGGATAAAGCTATGCACAGAATTTCAGTCTACTTGCTCAAATGAATGACTGTGCTTGAGTTTTAAGCAAAACTTAGGTACATTTCTTAAGTATGAGAAAAGCTGTATGTTTTGTTTTTATGTTTGTTCCTTGAAGATTTCCTCCTTTTTGTCTTAGTAACAATGGATGCTTGAAATCCAAGGAGAAATTTATTTTTTAAGGCAACAATACTGTGCATTTTGTAACTTTAAATTTAAATTGCTGAATGTTACCTTAAACATTCACCTTTAAAGTATTTCTAAATCCACGAAGACTAAACTTTATTAGGATATAATGAAGTAATTCTAACATTCCTAGAAGTAATTTACTTTCAAGACTCAAACTGAGAAAAAATGCACTGATTTCACAAATGTGGGACCACCCAACTCTGATACAGACTGCCCAGCCACAATGGCATCCCTTCACCTGGTCCTGCTCAGGTCAGTTAACTGCACCACCACACCACACCACTCCCAAGTTGTTTAGCCCCAAACCTATGAATCACCCATAATCATTCCTTTCCCCTTATCCCCATGTCCAAGATCAGCAAGTCCAGTGGATTCTATCTCCTGAGTCTGACCACCTCAGATATTCTGGTCTCAGCTACAATTATGGCTCCCATGCATGACTGCAATAGTCTCCCAACTGGTTTTTCTGTTTCCATTCTGCCCCACCATAACCCCATAGCACAGTCTAAAGGAGATGTTTACAATATTAATCAGATCAGGTAACCTCCCCAACCCTTCACCCTCAAACTGGGTTGCAATCACAATACATAAAATCCAACCTCCCTACCATAACCTAACAAGGCTCCCTCCGCTGGCCCCTCCTCCCCAATGCCACAATGCCTCTCTGCCCCCTCGCATACAACTTACCCCATATCCTAGCCCATAAGACCTTCCTTCTCTTTATCTCAACCATCTCAGGGCACCTGGACTTACTATCCTTTACCTGGACTTCTACTCTCAGATGTTTACATAGCTGACTCCTCTTCTCTTTCTTGCCCCTCAAATGCCACCTGTTCAGAGCTACCCCATACAAAAAAGCCCTCATGCCTACCACCATGATTTTATTTTTATCACAGAACAATGAAGTATCTAAAATTACATTGTCAGTTTTTTTTACTGTCTGGTCGGACAAAACTGGGAACCCAGCCTGTCCTACTCGCTTCTATGAACGGTGTCTATGAACGGACATAGACTGTTCTCAAATAAACATCTGTGAAACACATTAATGACATTTCTAAAATTCATCTTGCTAACAAAATGTAAATAAATGCCACGCTCATGATCCTTAATTCCAGTACTTTTTAAAATCTGCAGAATATATCACATAAAAATCTACACTGATTACAGATTAAAACATTAAAAAAAAGCTATCCTGATTGTACAATTCTTAAGAAACTGAAGAAATAGAGGAAAAACTACCTAACCAGGTTTACTGAAATACATTAAAATAAAAAATGGAGATGGTAACTTGTAACCTACTCTCCCCAATTTTACTTTAAAATGTCAGTCTCCCGGCTGCCTTTCCTCTTCTTTACTCAGCAACTCATATCTGCAAGAGCACTAACAGGAGGTGACAAGACTGCAGTTTGGGGGCCAATCTCCCCACTCCCAGGTGGCAACAACTTCCAAGCTCTCAGCCTCCTCTGCTACTTCCTCAAAGCTTTCCAGCTCCAGAATTTTCAAGTGCTACCAAACAATATATAAAACTTCCTAATTTTGCTGGGAATTCGTTATTTACTATGTCAAATGCAATAGAACTTCCATCCCTCTTAATTTATTGAGGTATAAAATGGTATCTCATACACAGGCTAGAATATATTATATAGGAATAAATACCATTTTTAATATTTATTTGAGAAGTCTAGACACATCCATGGCTACACACTGTAAAAAGTGATATATGAAAATATAACAAGAAAGAAAATGGCAATAATTTCAAAGTACTGAGTGATTTTGGTACAAAGAAAAAGTGTCTTTTCTGAAATAAATACACTCCTAAAGTTGCAAAATATGAATGCATTAAATTATCAGTGCCAACTGTAGTGATACCACGAAGGGTTATGAATATTTTAATTACTTTATACAAATACACAATTAAATATATTTTAAAAATATTATTGCAGAGATCAGTTGTAAACACCACACAATTGTGAACTTGGTATGATTTGGCATTAAGAGATAGGTCAAGCTGAAAATACCAAGACGGAGAACTTTATATTGTGGGACACTGAAACACACAAAAAAATCAGGTATGGACCAGAGTTTTTTTAAAGATCGTGGTTAAAAACAACTCATCTTTTTTATGACTCAGAAAAAAACACACATAGTTTTAATAAATAATCTCAAAGTATATTTTACCAGGATGTGAAAATGTGACCATCAGATACAGAGACTGGGAAAAGAGACAAAAATGGCACAACAGCAAAGAGGGAGGAGAGAGATTCAAGGCCCCAAACAACAGGAAAGTAGCTCTCACTCTCCCTTCTCTTCTCCAGCACGCGCACATACAGACAGGAAGGAATGAAAATAGAAACAGTAAGACCCCAGTCTTTTACCATTAGGACAATGCTAAAAGCACCTGTACTGTGTTGCATATCTTTGCAGCCCCAAGGACATAAAAGAGGACTCACCTCTGATGAGGATCATAGAGTCAGGGGACAGTCAGGCTCTGTTACATTCTATATACTTTATATAACTGTATGTCTTCCAACAGACACACACAGTTTTAATTCATTTACACCAGACTCATTCAACCTTAATTATGAAAAACTATATACAATTGTGATGACAAGAAAAAATACATAAATAATATAACATGTAAGGAGCATTAAGTGCTTCTGAGAGAAGGGCTTAAATACATACATAAACTAAACAAATGTATCCCACAAATTCAATGACTACTCATATACTAGACTAGACGGGTACTTTAAAAAGCTAGGGAATGACCACCAGACACTGGCCTCAGTTCTAAAAGTGCTATTTCTAAATACCAATATATAAGAGACTACTACAGTAACAAGTATGTACTATCCAATAGGAATTCTACTGTTATATGAAATATAATCAAATGAGGAATTACTTAAAGTTCCATATGACCCACTACAATGAAAAGCAATCTTACCGTAGTGCAGAGTAGACACCCAAAGACAGAAATGAATAATCAGGATCATAGTACAAATACACAGATGACACACAGTATGGAAGGATGTCAATCACCCCCACAGCTATGATCTTTCCATCAAGCCAATACTGCTGGTGAAAGGAGCCATAGCCACAGTCTGGTCCATTAGGGGGATTTTCTGCCTATGAAAAAATAGACACATAAACATGAACACTTTGTTATCTTTTTCTTTAGAGCAAAAAATCTTAATAATTAACCTACCCTACTTTTATTTTACTCAGGTCAGTATGTCCTAAAATTTCCTCCTTGTTGACCATCACCCTTCACAGTCACACCCTACAAAACTTTTTACTTGTAGGAACATTGACCAAACAAAAGAATGAAGAAGAAAAACCAACTCAAAGATTTTTCAACTTGCTTTAAAATTTGACAGTGGGAAATATAAATTTCACAGGGTAAGTAAATATTGAACTATATTTTTCTGTTCCACACTAAAGCTGGAAAGAAATGGTACATGACAGAAAGACAGAAAACACAAACGGAGAGAGTTGGGTCATAAAGAACTGTCCCCATACCACCAGCGAGGACTCATCTGTGACTACCCCCAAACTGATAAAGGTAAGAACTCTTTTGTAAGTACAAAGGGCTATGACATTTCTCTGTATTAGCCAAAGGAAAATAAGGTTATTTCCTTATCCTTATCTTAATGTAACTATAATCCCACAGAAGAAATGAGATTCAGAGTATAACCATATTCCTGTAAATAGTTGAGTGATATTTCTCATTTTAAAATTCAACATGATTTCAAATATAACTGTTGTTAAATGAGAACTATTAAGTAGCATAAAAAATGCTTTGCTAGAGACTGAATGTATCTTAGAGATCAACAATTTAAGTGAATAAATACAATAAAACATGCATTTCATTTTCACAGTTAAAATCACAGAGAATGTCTATGGACAAAAGCTAGAAAAGAATGAAGAAAACTGAAAAAAGCAAGTTTGCTAATAGTAAAACCAAAAAAAAGTCACAATATAAGAAATCTACAGATCATTATCATCATGAACATAGATGTAAAAATCTTCACCAAAATATGAGCAAATCAAATCTAACAACATATAGTCAGAATTATATACCACGACAAAGTAGAATTTATTCCACGTGTGCAACGCTGGTTCAACATTAGAAAAGTGATTAAAAAAAGAAAAGTAACTAATGTAATCTACTATGAAAACAAGCAAAAGAGAAATTGTATCATACCAATTGATGTAGAAAACACATTTGACATAATCCAACACCCATTTATAACTCTCAACTCAAACTAGGAATAGAGGGTACTTCAACCTGATCTAGAACATACACAGAAATCTACAGGTGACACTATACTTAACTATTAAGAAACTGGATGCTTTCATCCCTCAGAACAGGAACAGGCAATAATATCTCTCTTATCACTCCTATTTGACATCATACTAGAAATTCTAGCTAGTGTAATAAGACAACAAAAGTAAAGTATACATACAGATTAGGAAGGAAAAGGAAATAAGACCACCTTTATTCACAAGTAATATGATTTACTATGTAGAAAATACCAAAGAATTAACAAAAAATAAAATGGAATAAACAATGACAGGAAAGTCAGAGGATACAATATTAATATACAAAAGTCAACTGCTTTCCTATATACAAGCAATGACTGGACTGTGAAATTGAAAACACTGCCACTTACAAAAGCACCAAAAAAAGTATACACCTAAGTATAAATCTAACAAAACATGTATAAACTTTATATGCAGGAAACTATAAAACTCTGACAAAAGGAATCAAAGAAAATGTAAATAAATGGAAAAATATTACAGGTTCATAGATGAGAAGACTCAATATTGTTAAGATGTGCACTCTTCCCAAGTTGGTCTACAGATTTAATGCAATCCCAGTCAGAATCCCAGCAAACTATTTTGTGGTTATCAACAAACTGATTGTAATGCTTATATGGAAGAGATGATGACCAGAACTGAACACAATAGTGAAGAACAACCAAGCTGGAGGACTGACACTATCCAACATCAAGATTTACTATAAAATTACAATAATCAAGGTAGTGACATTGGTGACAGAACAAAGCAGAACACTGGGACAGGAAAAGTGCCCAGAAATACACCCACAATAATCATACTCAACTGACCTTTGACAATGAAGCAAAAACAATTCAATAGAGAAAGGATAGTCTTTATATATATATATATTTTAAATTATAGTATCTATATACAATCTTATGAAGGTTTCACATGGCAACATTGTGGTTTCAACATTCAACAATATTATCAAGACCCCCCCACCCCATTGCAATCACTGTCCATCAGCATAGTAAGATGCTAAAGAGCATTACTTGTCTTCTCCATGCTATACTGTCTTCCTTGTGACCTAAATATATTGTAATTGTAAATTATAGGGCCCTTTAATTTTCTTTTCCCTCCCTCCCCACCCACCCTCCCCAACCCCTTCCTTTTGGTAACCACTAGTCCCTTCTTGGAGTCTGTGAGTCAGCTGCTGTTTTGTTCCTTCAATTTTGCTTTGCTGTTATACTCCACAAACGAGTGAAATCATTTGGTATTTGTCTTTCTCTGTCTGGCTTATTTCACGGAGCATAATACCCTCTAGCTCCATCCATGTTGTTGCAAATGGTAGGATTTGTTTTCTTCTTATGGCTGAATAATATTCCACTGTGTATATGTACCACCTCTTCTTTATCCATTCATCTGCTACTGATGAACACTTAGGTTGCTTCTATATCTTGGCTATTGTAAATAGTTCGGCGATAAACATTGGGGCACATATGTCTTTTGAATCAGGAATTTTGTTTTCTTCGAGTAAATTCCTAAGAGTGGAATTCCTGGGTCAAATGGTATTTCTATTTTGAGTTTTGAGGAACCTCCATATTGTTTTCCACAATGGTTGAACTAATTTATACATTCCTGCCAACAGTGTAGGAGGGCTCCCCAAGAAAGGAGAGTCTTTATAACAAATGGTACTCTAAAACAATCTGACATCCAAATGCAAAAACAAAATCTAGGCACAGATTTTATACTACTCAAAAGAAAAGATTCAAAATGGACACAGACCTAAATGCAAAATGCAAAACTACAAAAAGTTCTGGATGGTAGCATAAGAGAAAATCTAGGCAACCTTGGGTATGGCAATATGAGTTTTTAGATACAACACCAAAAGCACAATCCATGAAATAAATAACATAAGCTGGATTTCATTAATATTAAAATCTTTTGCTCTGCAAAACACATTGTTAAGAGAGTAAAAAGTCAAGCCACAGACTGGAGAAAATCTTGCAAAATGTATCTGATAAAGGATGGACATTCAAAAATATAAAGACTCTTAAAATTCAACAAGAAAAACAACACAATTAAAAAGAGGGCAAAATAGCTTAGCAGACACCTCACCAAAGATGTAGAGTTAACAAATAAACATATTCAGATATTCAACATAACTTGTTCTTAAATTTAAAAAACAATGAGATAAGATTATCTACATTGCTAATCATCAGAAAAATGCAAATTAAAACCACAATGAGATATCAACTCACACCAGTTAGGATGGCCAACATCCAAAAGACAAACAACAACAAATGTTGACGAGAATGTGGAGAAAGGGGAACCCTCCTACACTGCTGGTGGGAATGTAAACTAGTTCAACCATTGTGGAAGGCAGTATGGAGGTTCCTCAAAAAAACTGAAAATAGAAATACCATTTGACCCAGGAATTCCACTCCTAGGAATTTACCCTAAGAATGCAGGAGCCCAGTTTGAAAAAGACATATGCACCCCTATGTTTATCACAGCACTATTTACAATAGCCAAGAAATGGAAGCAACCAACCTAAGTGTCCATCGGTAGATGAATGGATAAAGAAGATGTGATTTATATACACAATGGAGTATTATTCAGCCATAAGAAGAAAACAAATTGTATCATTTGCAACAACATGGATGGAGCTAGAGGGTATTATGCTTAGTGAAATAAGCCAGGCAGAAAAAGACAAGTACCAAATGATTTCACTGATACGTGGAGTATAAGAACAAAGAAAAAAACTCAAGAAACAAAACAGCAGCAGACCCACAGAACCCAAGTATGGACTAACAGTTACCAAAGGGAAAGGGACTGGGGAGGATGAGTGGGAAGGGAGGGATAAGGGGGGAAAAGAGGCATTACAATTAGCACACATAATGTAGCGGGGCTGTGGGGGGACACGGGAAAGGCAGTACATACAGAGAAGACAAGTAATGATTCTATAGCTTCTTAGTACGCTGATGGACAGTGGCTGTAATAGGGTATGTGGCGGGGACTTGATAATAGGGGGAGTCCAGTAACCATGTTGTTCAAATAATTGTACATTAATGATACCAAAAAAACAATAATAAAAAATAAGAGCATCTTCATAGGAAAAAAATAAACAATGAGATAGTACTACATGACTATTAGAATGGCTAAAATCCAAAAATGTGAGTATCAAACGCTGGCAAGCATGGACAGCAACAGAAACTCTCATTCATTAGTATGTGAATGTAAAACAGCACAGACACTTTGGAGGACAGTTTGGGAGTTTCTTACAAAGCTAAGCATAGCCTTATCGTACAAAATAGCAATCATGTTTCTCAGGTGTTTATCCAGTTAGTATAAAGATTTAGGTCACACAAAAACCCAAAGACCTGCACATAAATGTTTACAACAGTTTCATTTAAAATAGCTAAAAACTAAAAGCAACCAAGATAGCCTTCAGTAGGTGATAAACCATGAAACATCCATACAATGGAATATTATTACTCATCAACATCGAGAAATAAACCATTAAGCGACACACATACAAAACGGAGACACCTTAAATGCACACTGCTAAATGAAGAACATATGCACTATGATTCCATTACTCTGTAAAAGTCAAAACTATAGACAGTAAAAAGATCAGTGGTTGTCAAGAATTTGGGGCGATCAGGGCAAGGATAAATAGATGGGATAGATGGTACACAGGGAACTTTAAGGATAAACAGTTCTGTGTAATACTGTAGTAGTAGATACATGACATTATGCATGTGTCAAAACTCACAGAACTTTATAACACAGAGTGAACTTTAATGTATATCAATTAAAGAAGATCATTTTAGAAGTTTTTA